TGGAGCCTGATGCAGGGCTCGACCTCAAAACTCTGAGACCATGACCTGAGCCCATGACTTGAGGCAAAACCAAGAGCCAGACACTTTACCAACTGAGCCACCCAGGTGCCTCAGGGAGGACAGGGTTTTTAAAAGTATTTATTGAACACCTAACATGTCCCACATAGTACAATGTTGGCATTCTGCCCTGGGAGTCAAGCTGATTCTCCCAGCCTACATCAGAAGCAGTGAGCTCCATGAAGGTCTTCGTACCAGCAATAGTACAAAGTGAGGGAAAGGTAGAAAGGGGAAGAACCAGCTGTGTGTTCTTAGGCAAACTGCCTGGCCTCTCTGAGTCTCTGTTTCCTGATCTGTAAAGTGAGGCTGGAGATCCTCCCTTGCCCTTCTACCGGAATCGGGGGTCAGATGAGATAAAACACGTGGGCAGCCTTGGCAAGCAGGAAAGTGCTACCCAGCGGAGAAGAGGGGTGGCTCTCAATAGGAGACAATCCCCCGCCTATATCTTTCACTGAAGTACCTGCTCTCAGCTCCCAAAAGCCATCCCTGCAGAAGCTTGGAGAACACCCCTTGGGGATGCTAAAACTGTGCTCTTCTCCAGAGCACTATGCCATTGGGTAAAGAATGTTCTACAACGTTCATCCAAAGACGATCATTCCCCTGGTGACCCCAGCTATGAGTGTAGTCATGCCCCACCCTCCTCGGTTCCATGCCCTGACTCTGGGCCAGTCGATACAGTATGTTTCCAGGGAGACCAGGGAAGGTGATGGCATTTCCTGGGAGGAAAGATGGGCTTGTCCAGGGGCACAGTGGGATTTCAGAGGTTGGTGCTAAAGCCATGTGGTGGAGCCATCACTCTCCCATCAGGATAAAGAACAGGATTGCCAAGCCCATCGGGGAGGCCGGGTGGATGGGCAGCATTTCCCTTGGAGGGCCGATTGGATGACTTGCTATTGTCCCACCTGCTCTTCAGACAGAGCTTAATGGGACAGCAGTAATTTGCTGCTGGTCTCTATTATTGCCAGCAGTCGTGGGGTACTGATTCTGTGCCAGGGATTTGTAAGATTACCTCCTTGAATCCTCTCAAATTTATAACGCAGCTACTATTATCCCCATTTTACAGGTGAAGAGGCTGTGGTACAGAGAGGTTAAGTATCTTGCTCAAGGTCACACAGTGAAAGAGCCGAGCCTGGAGCCCAGTCGAGGTCTTCCGACCCCAGAGCCTGTGCAGAGAGAGGACCGTGCCATACACCGTCACGGGCCAGGGGAGGACAAGCAGAGAGCTGAGTAGGGGAAAGAAGCGAGGTAATTCCTAGGTCCCAGGTCCCATGTGAGCCTTTTGTTTTTTGTTTTTAAAGATTTTATTTATTCATTTGACAGAGAGAGACACAGTGAGAGAGAGAACACAAGCAGGGGGAGTGGGAGGGGGAGAAGCAGGCTTCCCGCAGAGCAGGGAGCCCGATGCGGGGCTCGACCCCAGGACCCCGGGACCATGACCGAGCCGAAGGCAGACGCCCAATGACTGAGCCACCCAGGCAGCCCAGGTTGCTTTTCTTGGGCCTCAGTTTCCCCATCCATGCAGAGGGCATAAATAACACTTCCAAAGGTTGCAGCAATGAATGCGGTGCTGTATGTACGTGCCAAGCAGAGAGCCTCGTACACCACAAGGGTTTAGACCCGCCTGCAGCGGGTCTGGGGTGCACCCCTCTCCCCCCAGCCCCTGCCGAGGAGGCCAGTCACAGCTACCCTGCTCTGTTCCCCACCCCTGCCTGTCCCAGCAGTCCCTGGCTTCCCACCTGTAGCAGGTACAGCCCTCAAGCTCAGGTTGGCAAGGAACGTCACCTGTCCTCTGTAGCCTGTCGCCTCCCAGCCCATCTGGCCTGGTTGGTAAAACATCAATGTCAGTCACTGTGGGGCTCTGCCCAGCCCAGTGTTGTGCCAAAGCACTGGGTCGTGGTTTGTTTTATTATGGTAACATATGCATAACATAGAATGAACCGTCTTTAACGATTAAGGGTACAGTTCTGGGACATTAGGGACGTTCATGATGTTGTGCAACCATCCACCTCCAGAACTTTCCCATCTTCCTGGACTGAAAGCCTGTCCTCGTTAAACACAAACCACCGCCCCCCCCTGCCCCCAGTCCCTGCAGCCCCATCTGACCGCCCTCTGTGACACTTCTATGTGGAATCCTACAGGATTGGCCTCTTTGTGACTGGTTTATTTCAATTAGCATAATGTCCTCAAGGTTCCTGCATGTTGGAGCATGGGTCAGAATTTCCATCCTTTTTACGTTTGAATACTTCATTATATGTTGAGACCACATTTTGCTTATCCACTTAACCATCGGGGGACACTTGGCTTGCTTCCACATCCTGGCTGTTGTAATAATGCGGCTACACACATGGGTGTGCAAATATCTGTCTGAGTCCCTGCCTTCAGTTCTATGGGGTGCATACCTCGAAGTGGAGTTTCTAGATCACATGGTAATTATGTTCGACTTTTTTGAGGAACTGCCCAAAGTCTTGGGGTTACAAGTTAGGACACTGGCGTTGGGGAAGCCCCTCTGGCCACACTGTGGACAGGGAGATATGAAATCAGGAGCTGGACATTGTGGGTTCAAATCCCGGTTCTGCCACCTCCCAGTGGGGTGACCTTGGGCGAGTCACTTAGCCTCTGCGCTTCAGTGTCTCAGCTCTACTGTGGGATGAGAGCAGTAGCTGCCTTGTGGGGCTGTGTTGGTATGGGGAGTATGTACTTAGAACAGTGCCTGGTACCCCGGAAGCTCTAGGACCTGTTAGCTCTGTGTTCTTCCAGGGATCTGATCCTGCGATCTCACTGCTGCTGTGGCCCCACCCCAGCCTGGTCCCTCCATGGAACATCCCTTTGGAGCTGGCCCTGTTCCCACCCCAAGACTCTGACTTCTTTCCCCCCTTTCCCAGGTCCCTGGGACTCTCTCTTCAATGAAGGAGTTTCTCTTTGCCTGCCCATGGCTTAACCTCTTGAAAACACAAATCAGGAAGTAAAGCCTCAGACTAACTCTGGGAGAACCTGAGCCTGGACCAGAGGGGAAACCAAGGGCACTGGCTAACAGGTGGGCACGGGCACGGGCGAAGAGGAGCCCTTTCTTCTTTCCTTTGACCTCGATCATGCCATTCTCCAGGGCTGAGTCCAGTCTGGGCCCTGAGTTTTGGGAGGGGTGAGGAGAGCTGGGAGGGTCCCTGAAGACGGCCCACAGGCATGATTACAGGGACGGGGAAGAGGCGCTCTGGACTGAGATGAAAGGAGCCGTGGTTTGGCACTCTGATCACGAGGAGAGTCAGCCGGAGGGTTCCGGTTAGTGAGGGGTGGCGGTGGAGATGAGATTACCCGCGTCCCTGGGCCAGCAGCCAGGACTCCATGGCTGGGGCCAGGACAGTCCCACCTCTGGTGGAGGCCCAGCTGGTGTGTGGGTGTGGCCTGGCCAGCTTGCCTGGTCTGGGTCCCCAGCACATCCCCACCCGGGGCGGGGGGAGCTGCTTCTGCCGGCCCTGGGTGATGCCAGGAGGAAGGTCAAGGCAAGACCTGGCGGGCGAGGACTTTGGTCCTTAGAGACCATGCCTGGAGGTTGACCCTAGTCAACTAGGTTGACTTCTAGTTTTTGCCACCTCTACCTGTGACAGGAGGGGACAGAGAAGCCTCCGGGATGCCCCACACCCCATACCCCTTCCCATTCTCTTCCTTTCCTATTTTGTCTTCTCTGTTCCTTTCCTCATACCAGGTGGTAGGTGATTTGGAAATTCACAAAGCAGTGCACTTCTCTTCACAGTTTATCAACACCCAGAACCTGGTAAGAAGTCAGCACTCAATTTCACTGAAGTCGGCTTTAGTGAAGGACTTTCTGCATGGCCCTCTGGCAGAGCTTACTAACGGGCACTGCTACTCCTGACGCTTCTCCTTAGCATTGTCAAATCCAGGCCTGTCTTCGATATTTGCAGACATCCCCAAAGGGGCACTAATATCTGTTCTGGGTCATTAAATAAAATATGCCACGAAGATTAAGTAGAATAACATGTAGAAAATGCCTGGCACATTATAGTCATTAAAAAATTAGTTACCATTATTTTTTGTTTTAAAAAAATAATGATTGGGGCGCCTGGGTGGCTCAGTTGGTTGAGCGGCTGCCTTCGGCTCAGGTCATGATCCTGGAGTCCCGGGATCGAGTCCCGCATCGGGCTCCCTGCTCGGCAGGGAGCCTGCTTCTCCCTCTGACCCTCCTCTCTCTCATTCTCTCTCTCTCAAATAAATAAATAAAATCTTTAAAAAAAAAAAATAATAAAAAAATAATGATTATATTAAAAGGGAGGACAGTGGTTTTTTGTTTTGTTCTAAAGATTTTATTTTTTTTGTTTGTTTGAGAGAGGGAGAGAGCATGAGCAGGGAGGAGGGGAGAGGGAAAAGCAGAGAATCTCAAGCAGACTCTGTGCTGAGTATGGAGCCTGATGCAGGGCTCGACCTCAAAACTCTGAGACCATGACCTGAGCCCATGACTTGAGGCAAAACCAAGAGCCAGACACTTTACCAACTGAGCCACCCAGGTGCCTCAGGGAGGACAGGGTTTTTAAAAGTATTTATTGAACACCTAACATGTCCCACATAGTACAATGTTGGCATTCTGCCCTGGGAGTCAAGCTGATTCTCCCAGCCTACATCAGAAGCAGTGAGCTCCATGAAGGTCTTCGTACCAGCAATAGTACAAAGTGAGGGAAAGGTAGAAAGGGGAAGAACCAGCTGTGTGTTCTTAGGCAAACTGCCTGGCCTCTCTGAGTCTCTGTTTCCTGATCTGTAAAGTGAGGCTGGAGATCCTCCCTTGCCCTTCTACCGGAATCGGGGGTCAGATGAGATAAAACACGTGGGCAGCCTTGGCAAGCAGGAAAGTGCTACCCAGCGGAGAAGAGGGGTGGCTCTCAATAGGAGACAATCCCCCGCCTATATCTTTCACTGAAGTACCTGCTCTCAGCTCCCAAAAGCCATCCCTGCAGAAGCTTGGAGAACACCCCTTGGGGATGCTAAAACTGTGCTCTTCTCCAGAGCACTATGCCATTGGGTAAAGAATGTTCTACAACGTTCATCCAAAGACGATCATTCCCCTGGTGACCCCAGCTATGAGTGTAGTCATGCCCCACCCTCCTCGGTTCCATGCCCTGACTCTGGGCCAGTCGATACAGTATGTTTCCAGGGAGACCAGGGAAGGTGATGGCATTTCCTGGGAGGAAAGATGGGCTTGTCCAGGGGCACAGTGGGATTTCAGAGGTTGGTGCTAAAGCCATGTGGTGGAGCCATCACTCTCCCATCAGGATAAAGAACAGGATTGCCAAGCCCATCGGGGAGGCCGGGTGGATGGGCAGCATTTCCCTTGGAGGGCCGATTGGATGACTTGCTATTGTCCCACCTGCTCTTCAGACAGAGCTTAATGGGACAGCAGTAATTTGCTGCTGGTCTCTATTATTGCCAGCAGTCGTGGGGTACTGATTCTGTGCCAGGGATTTGTAAGATTACCTCCTTGAATCCTCTCAAATTTATAACGCAGCTACTATTATCCCCATTTTACAGGTGAAGAGGCTGTGGTACAGAGAGGTTAAGTATCTTGCTCAAGGTCACACAGTGAAAGAGCCGAGCCTGGAGCCCAGTCGAGGTCTTCCGACCCCAGAGCCTGTGCAGAGAGAGGACCGTGCCATACACCGTCACGGGCCAGGGGAGGACAAGCAGAGAGCTGAGTAGGGGAAAGAAGCGAGGTAATTCCTAGGTCCCAGGTCCCATGTGAGCCTTTTGTTTTTTGTTTTTAAAGATTTTATTTATTCATTTGACAGAGAGAGACACAGTGAGAGAGAGAACACAAGCAGGGGGAGTGGGAGGGGGAGAAGCAGGCTTCCCGCAGAGCAGGGAGCCCGATGCGGGGCTCGATCCCAGGACCCCGGGATCATGACCTGAGCCGAAGGCAGATGCTTAACAACTAAGCCACCCAGGCACCCCGAGCCTTTTGTTAATATTGGTGTTGAAGAGTCACAGACGTCACTAGAAGGGTGTCACTGGCTCTATTTTATGGAGGAAGAATGGGAGCACAGAGAGGTTGAGTTGCCCAAGCACGGGAGCTATACTTTGAACCAGATGTGTCTACACTGCAGAGTGTCGCTCTTTCAGTGACCCCACCACCTTATCTTGCTTCCTTGGCAGTTTGTTCCAAGTCTGATCTGTCTTGGGAACCCTGGGACCTGGAGCCCAGGCCTGGAACAGACATACCAGTCCTCTACACATGTTTTCTGAAGTAATATAAGAGATCCCAGTTGTTTCCACTTGCTGCTACTTTGGGCAAGGGAGAGGAAATGTGGTAGGAAGTGTAGTGACCTCGCATCTTTTGTGCATGGATGTTTGCTGGGCCTGAAACCCTGCTCAGATGGAGAGTTATGAAAAGAGAATCATGTTGGAGTAGTTGCATCTCCTTTACTTTTGGGTGTGTTAAAGAAAAAAGAAAGCTCTAGGAGAGACCCAAATTGAAAATTCCATCCGTCTTTCTTCCTACTTTCCTTCCTTCCTTCCATCTATCCATCTCCCCATCC